TTTAGGGTTTAGGGTTTAGGGTTTAGGGTTTAGGGTTTAGGGTTTAGGGTTTAGGGTTTAGGGTTTAGGGTTTAGGGTTTAGGGTTTAGGGTTTTAGGGGTTTAGGGTTTGGGGTTTAGGATTTGGCGTTTCGGGTTGAGGGTATAGGATTTAGAGTTTTGGATTTAGGGTATAGGGTTTAGGGTTTAAAGTTTGGGGTGTAGGATTTAGGGTTTGGTGTTTAGGGTTCAGGGTTTTGGGTTTTGGGTTTAGGGTTTAGGGTTTAGGGTTTAGTGTTTAGGGTTTAGCGTTTAGGGTTTTTTCGATTTAGTGGTTTAGGGGTTTTGGGTTTAGGGCTTAGGGTTTAGGGTTTAGGGTTTAGAGTTTTGGGTTTCGGGATTGGGGTTTTGAAGTTAGGGTTTACTGTATAGGTTTGGAGGTTTAGGGTTTATGGTTTAGGATTAGAGTGTTTATGTTTAGGGTTTACGGTTTGGGGTTTTGGGTTTTGGGTTTTGTGTTTTGGGTATTGGATGTTGGGTTAAGGGTTTTGAGTTTAGGGTTTAGGGCTTAGAGTTTAGGGTTTCGTTAGGATTTAGGGTTTAGGGTTTAGTGTTTAGGGTTTAGGGTTAGGGGTTTAGGGTTTAGGATTTAGGGTTTAGTGTTTAGGGTTTAAGGTTTTGGGTTTTGGTTTTGGGTTTTGGGTTTAGGGTTTAGGGTTTTGGGTTTTGGGTTTAGGGTTTAGTGGTTTAGGGTTTTAGGGTTTGGGTTTAGGGTTTATGGTTTTGTGTTAAGGGTTTAGAGTTTTGGGTTTAGAGTTTAGGGTTTAGGGTTTTGGGTTTAGGGTTTATTGTTTAGGGGTTTACGGTTTCGGGTTAGTGTTTAGGGTTTAAGGTTTAGGGTTTAGGGTGTTTTTTTGTTTTGGGTTTTGGATTTTGGGTTTAGGGTTTTGGGTTTTGGGTTTTGGGTTTAGGGTTTAGGGTTTTGGGTTTTGGGTTTTGGGTTTAGGATTTCGGGTTTAGGGTTTGGGGTTTAGGGTTTTATGGGTTTAGTGGTTTCGAAGTTTTGGTTTTAGGGTTTATTGTTTAGGGTTTTGGATTGAGGGTTTAGAGTTTGGGGTCTAGGGATTGGGGTTTTGAAGTTAGGGTTGTGTATAGGGTTTGGGGGTTTAGGGTTTATGGTTTAGGATTATAAAGTTTGGGTTTAGGGTTTAGGGTTTGGATTTAGCATTTGGCGTTTCGGGTTGATGGTATTGGGTTTAGAGTTTTTGATTTAGGGTATAGGGTTTAGGGTTTAATGTTTTGGGTGTAGGATTTAGGGTTTGGTGTTAAGACTTTTGGGTTTAAAGTTTTAGGTTTTGGGTTTTGGGTTTACGGTTTAGGGTTTAGGGTTTAGGGTTTAGAGTTTAGGGTTTAGGGATTGGGGTTTTGAAGTTAGGGTTTAGTGAATATGGTTTTGGGGTTTAGGGTTTATGGTTTAGGATTATATAGTTTAGGTTTAGGGTTTGGGGTTTGGGTTTAGGATTTGAAGTTTCGGGTTGAGGGTTTATGGTTAATCTCCTCCTCCGTCATAGTCTTGGGTTGATTAACAACCACGTGCCACTTGAATTCTTTGTGGGTAATGCCTCGCTTGGCCGCAGTGAGCCGAACTGCGAGGTGCAGGTTGGGTATTTGCAAACAAGCGTCATTGAACCGCTTGATATATCTTCGAATTGACTCCCCTTCCTTCTGGACGATGCGAAGGAGGCTCTCCTGAATTCTAGGGCATTTCTTACTGGTGACGAAATGCAAAGTGAAGACTTGCACGAACTGCGCCCAATTTCTTATCGATCCGGGCACAAGGTTTCGGTACCATGTGCGGGCCACTCCTTTGAAGGTGGTGGAGAAAGCCACGCACATGCAGGATTCACTGGCCCTTACCAGGTGCATCTGGGACTAAAAGGCATCAACATGGTCATTCGGATCGAAGGATCTGTCATACTTATCCAGGAGAGGAAGGTTGAAGTCCTTTGGCATAGGAACAACAAGAAGTTCTAGCGACAAGAAGTTTTGTGCATCAAAGCTGAAGTATATTGGAAGCGCTCAGGTGCTAATAATAAACAAGTAAGAGCATAATGAAACAAAAAGGCTAAAGGGTATTCATGGAAGCAGAAATACAATCATTGACAGAAATGGGGAGAGTGAAATGCCATTTCCCATTCTTGAAATACAGTGACAAACCTGATCTGGAGCTTAATTATAGCTAAAGATGCATCAAATACTCCATACAAATAAGTAATAACAAAAATATAATCTCATACATTAGAACTAAGAAAGAATAAAACCTCAAATCCTTAAATTATCATTTCCAAAACATGCAAACCCTCTTATTTAATTATGAGTTGAAATACTACCTAAGAAAAAGAAATAATCATCCAACAATCATTAGTACTTATTCACAGAGCAATGGAGATACAGATTAGCAAATTTTCAATATCCCATCCATCCATCAACATATATTTTCAAAATGTGGAACAGTTCAATGATTATATTAATTGATTGTACATAGAGTCATTTCAACTAAGATCTAGTATAAGAATCGAAGATTTAACAGCGAAGAAATAAAGACATATAAACATGAACACCTTTAAGAAAACCAGAAAATAAGGGAACATATCAAGAGTCAAAGAATTGTCTGTCCACAACGAGGTAGATAGCCTACATCTAATGTAGTCTTCAAGATATGGTGTATGGTACAAGAAAGAACTCCGAGTGAGTTCAGTATATCAATAAGGAAGAAAGAAAAAAAACTTTGTCCATAGTAGTAGCGAATTTCAATAAAAGCCCTTAGGGAGGTAGAACAACGGCAGGGATTGAGGTTGGTTAACACACTTCTTTCCATGATGATGATGGTGAGGGTCTCTCAACCATGGACAACCACCTCTTCCCGTCTTTCTTCTTGGCTTGATCTTCCCTTAGTCATAAACCTGACCTCCTTCTTTCTTTCCTATGTCTTTGCATCTTATTCTCTCTCTCTCTCTCTCTCTCTCTCCATACGAACACTTTGCCTTTTTATATTTAATTTTTATATGTGACAAGTTTCCAATGACTTCAATTTGCTCATCACTTCAGTAATTCCAATGTTCAAAGTATCGGAAAATGCCAAGTGTATTGAAACGACAATTTTAAGAGATGCATCGGGATACACCTTGGATACACGTGTATTGGAGAAAAATTAAGATATGCATAGATCTATTCATAGAAACACTATAAATACTTCAATAAATCATAAAAATACATCAACAAAACTAAATATAAGGCCTCAATGAGGTAAATATACATTAAATTAATATATTTTATTGGTTTTATGAAGAAATACATCATAGTCAATTATAATTTCATTCAAAAAATCATATGCTTAACTATATTTTATAAATTATAATTCTTAAGTTTTAAGGGATGGGAAAACCCAACTATGCTATCTAACCATAAAACATGTATTTGCACAATTTTTGAATGCAAATATAATTAATAATTATTTCTTATTAAACAATTATTATTTACTTTTTATTTTCAAAAAATACAAAAATAAAAAATAATTAAACATTATATAACAAATTCATAAAAACAATTATTCAAGAAGAAATTTCAATTCCTCTATGGATATGGTAGATCATCCATAGATCTATAATATAATCAACCCTTGTGATTAAATCATAAAATGTAATTAATTATTAATCATTTTTAATTCTAAAAGTATAAAAATTAAAAAAATATTGAAAAGGAAATTGCAATTGCTCTATGGATATGATAAATAATCCATAGATCTAAAATATAATAAGTCTTTCTAGGAAGATAAAAAAAATACATTTTCAATTTTTAGTTTTTTATATATTTTCTAAATCTCTTTATAAAATACATATTCATGTTTTCATGGAAAAACTCATAAGATAATATGAAAAATTAAAAAAAATTACCTATTTGGTAATAATTTTCAAATCTACTCACATGTTTTTTTTTTTTACATATCTAGCACTTTATAATTGAGATTTGGAGTTTTTGAGTCATTTGGAGGTGAAAGAAGGCTTGTTTCAAGGGAAAGAAGCTTTCTTTTCCCTTTTATTTTTTCTCATTTTTGTCTGTATCTTTTTCATAGCGTATTAGTCAATATGCTTGATACACCTCTAGTATGACCCGATATGGGTCTGATACGGTGGGAAAAGATGATACAATAGATTTTCCATCATATCTTGTATTAGAATTTGAAAGAAATGATATGATATGCCAAGTATCAGGTGTATCTTGTCGAAAATTTGAAACCTTAAGTAATTCTATTATTATTCTCCAAATAACAAAACTAATGAGGACAATATTGAAAAAATCAGGGTGTTTTGATGATAAGATAATTTACCATTCTCATTTTTATATGTGGTTATTAGATAGATTATAGAAAATCAAAGGCGAGTTTTACAAAATAAACCATAGTTATTTAATATTTGATTTTTGACCACATATTTGAATTGAACGAGTTTTCAGGCACAAACAAAGCTTCTACATGTATTTCAAGACAGAAATGAACAACTTAATTAATGTTCCAACAACATGACACATGTCTTCCAAGGGCTTCATGACAAAGACTATAAATTCCCTCACTATTACTCTGTTTCTTCATCATTCATCACAAGCCCCTTTTGAGTAATATTTGTGTTGTGACTTGTGAGTTCCTAGAGAGGCCAAAAGAGATAAAAGATGGCTGACAATTCTCAAAAAGCGAGCTTCCATGCTGGTGAAGCCAAGGGCCAAGCTCAGGTGAGCAATATCCTCCTATATATAGGTTCATTATATACTCCAATTCATCATGTGTATCGATATATGCATGCATGCGTAGAGCATAATGTGGCCATGGGTTTCCATTCTTGATTAGATTTAAGCTTTTCCTTGCAGGCTAAGGCAGATCAATTGATGGACAAAGCAAGCAATGCCTATGAATCAGCCAAGGAGTCATGCCAAGAGGTCCATTTCATTTCCCAAGCAAAAGAAACTCTTGTTCTAGCAATGCTAATAGTGCAAACAATCTTTTTTGCTAGTATAAATTTTAATTGGTTTTTTATTATGTGTAGGCTGGTCAGCAAATGCAGGCCAAGGCACAAGGGGCGGCTGATGCTGTCAAGGATGCCACCGGGATGAACAAGTGAAAAGATCTTGCTTCATGGATGTTGTTTTGGCTTTTGAGTTCTTGTATTTATATTACATTATATAATAAAATGTAGCTATCCATGTCAGCTTAATCTCCCTCTCTCTCCCCTTCTCACACTGAGTTTTTTATGGTTTTTTAATTTAAAAAGTTAGAAAAAAAAAATAAAAGACTAGGCTATTTATACTCACCTACAACCAATTTAGTTTCCTAATAATGAATGTAATCACTCCCCTATAGAACATAGTTATCTTTTAACACTACTAGCCCATGCATCACATGACCCCAATAGACTAAAGGGCCTCTCCACTTCACTATGGTAGCGTTTTCTTTTAAATAAAAGTATCCAAAATGTGGTTACTTCCACTCTCAAAAAATCTATATTTATACTATATATAAAAGTGTCGATGCAAAGTGAAAGATTTTTTGAACTAAAATTACCCTCTATTTTTTTGTTTGAAAAAGGGTATAAAAGTTATTTTATTACATTACAACTTTAATGTCAGCTTTAATGGCTAATAAATTGCCCATATTTGAAAATGTAACGTCAATTATTACATTTCACCTCATTTAATCCCCTCTCGTTAAGCCTTATATTTAAGGTAATAACTCCCATTTTCTCTTATTAAATCCTATATTTAACTTATTTTTTTACTAATAAATGCTAATAATTATATCTAGCTATGTCAATATTTTTAAAAATATTTTTTAAAATTGACTAAAAAACAAAATCATTCTTTATCTAAGTGGTGACTAAACAATTCATCCACCTGAATCAAATTGATAAACCTATGAAATCATAATTAGGTAATAAAAAATTTAAAATAAAATAAATATAGAAAATTACAAAATTGTAGAAAAAGTAGACATGTTTATAATACTTTTTGTTAATCAAATTAAAAAAAGGTACTAAACAAGAATTATTTTTATCGATAATGAAATTGAAATACATAATTTAGAACTGACCAAAAGTGAAATTATTTTATTATTTGGCAAAGATCAATAATTCAACTTTTGGGTCAAATGTGTTAACATTTAGTGTCATGAATAAATAATAAAAATTAATAAAACATAAAAATAAAAATAAAATACATAAATTTTTCAAAAACACATCTAGGCACATGTATAATATTATATAAGGAAAATTCCAGATTAGTACCTTGTACTTTGGGCCTAGTGCCACTTTGGTCCCTAAACTTTAAAATGCAATAGTTCAGTACTCGAACTTTCAAAGCGTGACAATCCAATACCTACCGTTAACTTATTGCTAACCGTCATTAAGTGGCATTTGAAAAAGACACAAATGCCCTTCGAGTGTCATCTAATTTTCTTTATCAACCATCCAAACATTAGCAAAATGTTAATAGTCCCAAATCCTGACCTCTTCCATTCAAGAAAGTTGGGATCACCAAAATGCCCACTCAAATGTGACCCCAGTTTTCTTGAATAGAAGAGGCAAGGATTTGGGACTGTTAATTTTTTGTCAACGTTTAGATGGTTGATGATGCAGCGCAATCCGGGCACTCCTACCTGGCGGACATCTGGCTCTTATCTGGCGACGGACAGTACCTGAAAAGAGGAAGGTGAAGGATTCTCAGGGAGCTCGCCCGGTGGGAATGCTCCGATGCTTAAGCTAGAACTCTGAAAGAGCTGTAAGAAATGCAAAGAGAGCTAAGAGTGCAGACAGCACTAGATCAGTTCAATTTCATTCGCCCCTTGGATACCGGGGCCTTTAAATACAGATGTTCTTGTCAAATCGGGCGTAACCGCCACTGGCCCTCTGTCGCACCCGTTATTTGCTAGGGCTGCACAGGTAACCGTTGCAGAGTACTGCCCAATCAAATGAGAGACACAACTCAAAAAGGACAGGCACGCCGCCACTTATCGAGAGACGTGGGTGTAGTCCGCTGGGCTGGCAGGGACTACGCTATCAATTAGGAGACGTGGTGCAGTTTGACAAGTACGGTCTTGTCAGATAAGAAGCTTCTTGAAAACACCGCGTCGCTCAATAGCGAGCTCCTGGAGGTATTCCGAGGTGATTCCGCCTAAGGTCACCTTTGAGGCAGTCCTCTTGCCTAAGTATCGGAGCGAGCTGATTTTCTGAGCTCGCGAGCTGGGATAGACTTAGCTTGGAGTGTTCCCTTTCAGCATATTGGGGTCAACGAGCTTGCACTGTAGCGAGCTCGTTCCGTGGCGAGCTGTAATGAAGCGAGCTGACCTCCGAGGACTTTAACGAGATCGTTACTCGGTTGTAGCCATGTTGTCATGCTGAGTTGTTACTTATGTTGAGTCACGTCCACGTGTCGCCTTCTTAGGAGGTCTAGTCAAATCACCCTCCATCAGTTGATAAACAAAATTAAATGACACTTGAAGGGCATCTGTGCCTTTTTTAAATGCCTCTTAATAGCTGGTTAACAACTAGTTAATGGTAGGTACTAGATTGTCACGTTTTGAAGTTCGGGTACTGAATTGTCGCATTTAAAGTTCAGGGACCAAAATGGCACTAGACCCAAAGTACATGGTACTAATTGTGAATTTTCCCTATTACATAATTATCATATTAAACAAAAAGTAAGTGTGACATATCATAATTATTTTTACACACGGAAATACAAAAAAAAAATTATAAAAAAAATTATAAAAAAAAATTGAACACATCTATAATTCTATATTTACACTACTATTAAAAATATGAATAAGATTGTAGAACTTTCTTTTGACTAAAATACTCATTTTTTAATTTAATCCTTGTTTAATTGTGAGGTTTAAATTTTAAATTGAACTTCTATTTTTCAGTTTTCACCTCATCCATTTCCATCTATTTAAATCTTACATTTCTTTGATAAATGAACAAAAAAAAAAGGTAGACAAAAAAAAAAGCATTACAAAAAGAAGAATCTAGCTAAGCAGGTAGGCTTCTTAGTGATACTTCAAACTTCACAACTTGATTTGATTATCACATATTTGGATGAGGTTTTTATGTAATCAAATTTGGATTTTGTAATTTGCATCTGGTTAATAATAAAAAAACAAAAAACTATAAAAATAAAAAATACATACTTATAGAAATTTTTGGATACATTATTACTATAATTATCATCATCTAGAATTTCCACATGCTTTCTAGTAAAATAAAAGTAAGAGTTATGACCTCCACTCTTAAAAATAATGCTTACTTTTAATGATGTTAGATCCATATATACTAAAGCAAACAACCTCTATAATTTCATTTTCTAATACAAATAAAAGATCCATCATAAAGATTTTCACTTCATTAATTGGCTCCTAGGTCACATTCTTTTAGACAAAGTGGGTCATTAATTACAAATTAAATCTGAATTAATCTTGTAAGGGTCCGTTTGGTTCATAGTTGGAATTGGAATCAAAATTCATGAATGGTCTAATCCTCTCACCTATTTAGTTCAAACAAGAATCAGAATGGATTGAAATTAGCTAGAATGGATTCTCATTTCCAAGGGAGGGGGGGAGAATGACCATTCCCACAAATGGGGGAATGCCATTCCTCTAGGAATGGGAATGGAATTCCAATTCTGCCCAATCAAACAACTGGAACCTGAATAGACCAAATGGACCCTAAATTTAGTTTTTCTTGGAAAGTTCAATGTTTGATGTTTTCTTTTCTTTTTTGTTTTTTTGAAAATTTCAATATTCAATAAATATGAAATGGCCATTAAATAGTCATCCATTAATTCATGGGTCTCTTGGAAAGTTCAATATTCAATAAAGTATCAAGTTCACTTGACATGGTTTCGCCTCAAAATCAAAATTATCCTGATTTGTCGAATTTGATGATTCATTGGTTGAGTACTTGAAATTCCAATATTGTGTTTGTACATGCATATGTGCAACATATAAAGTGGAAAATTGATGGAAAGGAAACAACTCTTGGATCAAGAACGTTTGGCATTAATCTCTTAATTAACAAAACATATATCTTTTGAACCGAGTCATGTATTCTCCCTCCTTGAATTCAATATCTAGTTTCTTGATGGCACCAAAGTTGGAAAAACTATTATTTTTGTTATGTAACCTTAATATTCTATAAACCTAGCCATTATTCAAATTAATTAAAGATATCATCTAAAATTTTAAAGTAAATTTACTTGAATTATTCATTATAAAGGTTAAGAAAACAATTAATTCAAGAAATCATGGGTACCTAATAGCCAACATTGTTTCTAAAGGCAAATAGCCTATAAACAATTCAAAGCTATCTCAAAAGTGAAGTTGTTCTTATATTTGGTACTAGGTCAATAGTTTATCCTTTTAGGTTAAGTTAAATCTTGATGTTATAATTAAATAATAAAAAAATAGAAAAAAAAGATAAAAAGACAAAAAAATTACAAAATGAACAAATTTTGTAAAACCATTTGGGTACATCTCTAATATTAAATATTCATCATATTAAACAAAAATAAGTGTAATAAATGGGAAATATTTTTATACACAAAAATATAAAAATATTGTTGAAAACTTGAAAACATATCATTACTATCATCATCATCTAAAACTGTCACATGCAAAGGACATGCACACTTACTAGTTAAGCAAAATGCATCCTTAACAAGCAATTATAGACTTCTAATTCTTAGTATACATGTTTAGGCTAATCTTCTAAACTATCAGGTCTGACTATTCTAGAAAGGGAAAACCATACTTCACACAGTATTACAACAGATATACTAGTTAATTAGTAGGGGTGCAAATGGATCGAATTCTAATTGAGTTAGGCAATTCTAATTGGGTAAATTACAAGGACCCCCTGTACTATAGGGTCAGTGAAAAAGACCCCCTTGAACTTTGGCCATTAGACAAAGACCCCTCTGTTGGCATTCCATCAGTTAACATCGAAAAAGATTCTCACTTAGCTATTTAAAGTTTTTTAAATGTCTAAACTACCCTTTTCTAATTTATTTTATTAGACTTTTTTTCCTCAACCAATAGGACTGATAGGTACTTTTGGTGAGTAAGCAAATAGGC